TTACAGGTGAGTCCGCGTATATCCAAGTTTGATGATATTTCGAATAAAGTTTCACATTTATATTTCTGGTTAAGTGGGTTTCTTGGCGAAATATTATATCTATTGAGTATTGCTGAATTTCCCTAAGTATCTTATGTCTTTTTTTAGGGGAATGTAGCCCTTCCACATTATAAGTCATAAACTTAATCCAGTTTGTTTCTTCCACAATTTCTCTAACTTGTTGACTTCCATTCATGTGATGTTAAATACAGATAGTTTCTACTATTCCTCTTTCTCCTCTTCCCATTCCAGCTCCCTAGCCCCCCCCCCCCCCTTGGCCAACATTAAGCCTTGGAATCTGAGTGGGGAAATCCCTACTGATGATTCCTAATATAGGGTAAACCTTGGAACATGGCCGGTTCTTATTTCCCTGTATTGAAAACATCCGTAATTGAAGCAGTCATATACCAGGCCTCCCATGATGCCAACCTGCCCTGTCTTCTCCCCCCACCCCCTCTCATACCCCAACTATCCCCTAGGGGTAACTAACACCGTTAAGGGGGATAAGTACTTGAAAATCTGCCCATACAGAATCAAATAGGAAGTGTGACAAATATGGGCGGGAAGGAGGGAAGGTGGAGAAATAGGCAAAAAAAAAAGGAAAAAATTCCCTTTTTTTTTAAACACATACTAAGCCTATCCCCCCTCCTTCTCCCCCTCCCCTTCCCATCTTCCTCTTAATTCTTCCTCCCGGATACCTGTTGCCTCCCCCCCGGGCCCTGTCCTTCTTTCTCACTGCCGCCCTCTGACCATCCCACAATATGTATTCTCTGCAAGTCCAATTTGTCACAAAAGTCATTATATTCTTCTGGGTATCTTAACCTTGCTGATCTGCCATCTTTCCATCCGATCAAGGAGGCTGGAAAACCCCAGTTATATCTGACTTTTTTCTCTCTCATATGGATTAACAACGGCTTCAAAGTTCTCCTCCTAGCTAATGTTTCTGGGGCTATATCTGCAAATATCTGTAAGACTGTTTCTTCATATTTTATTTCAGCAAAGTCCCACATCCCTTTCCATATCCGTTCTCTATCTCCTAGTTCCTGGAATTTTACGATCACATCCCGGGGCTTTCTACTGGTATTCCGTTTGGGCGTCTAGTCCTGTATACTCTGTCCATTTTAAAATTGTCTGACTCTCCTCTACCCATTATTGGGTTACAGATTTTTCTAATTTTCCCTATCAGATCCTCTTCTTGCCCCGTTTCTTCAGGTATCCCTCTGATCCTTAAGTTTTTTCTTATGCGGTTCTCTTGTATCTCTAAATTGAGTAAAAGTTCTCTCTGTTCTAACTGCCTCTCTTCTGCTTGCCCCTCTAAGTTCTTATTTTTTTTTTTCCTGGTCCTCTGATTTTCTCTCAATATCTTCCATTCGGACTAATAAATGCCTCAGGTTGCTACGAAGATTCCCAATCTCCTTTTTCAGAACCGTTTCCATTTTTGCAAACATTTCAACCAGATCAAATTTTGAAATTAGGTGGGCCGAGGCCCCTTCTTGTTCACCTCTTCTTTGTTCCCCTGTACTTCCTATAGGAGAGATTTCTTTATCTTGATTCTCTTCCCTTATACCTAAAGACAATCTGGATTGGTCTCCTTCTGAATTAAAAGACCTTTCACAATGATTCTCATTATTTTGTGACTCTGGGCTTTTTTTTTCTTGCGGGGCATATATTTTTTTATAGTGGAGGAGCTTGTGGTTGGTTGGGGGGTTTTAGGGCCTCCCCTTTTATTTGCTTTTCTTCTCATTTTTCTTTTTTCCTTTCCTTTTCCCTTCTTATTCCTGCTCCCAAGTATACAGGTGAAACTCGAAAAATTAGAATATCGTGCAAAAGTTCATTTATTTCAGTAATGCAACTTAAAAGGTGAAACTAATATATGAGATAGACTCATTACATGCAAAGCAAGATAGTTCAAGCCGTGATTTGTCATAATTGTGATGATTATGGCTTACAGCTCATGAAAACCCCAAATCCACAATCTCAGAAAATTAGAAAATTACATGCAATCAATAAAACAAGGATTGTACATAGAACAATATCGGACATCTGAAAAGTATAAGCATGCATATGTACTCAGTACTTGGTTTGGGCCCCTTTTGCAGCAATTACTGCCTCAATGCGGCGTGGCGTGGAAGCTATCAGCCTGTGGCACTGCTGAGGTGTTATGGAAGACCAGGATGCTTCAATAGCGGCCTTCAGCTCTTCTGCATTGTTCGGTCTCATGTCTCTCATCTTTCTCTTGGCAATGCCCCATAGATTCTCTATGGGGTTCAGGTCAGGTGAGTTTTCTGGCCAATCTAGCACAGTAATCCCACAGTCATTGAACCAGGTGTTGGTGCTTTTGGCAGTGTGGGCAGGTGCCAAGTCCTGCTGGAAAATGAAGTCAGTATCCCCAAAAAGCTTGTCTGCGGAAGGAAGCATGAAGTGCTCCAAAATCTCCTGGTAGATGGCTGCGTTGACCCTGGACTTAATGAGGCACAGTGGACCAACACCAGCAGATGACATGGCTCCCCAAATCAACACAGGCTGTGGAAACTTCACATTGGACTTCAAGCATCTTGCAGTGTGTACCTCTCCATTCTTCCTCCATACTGTTGAGTCCTTAGTTTCCAAATGAGATGCAAACATTGCTCTCACCAGAAAAGAGGACTTTGGACCACTGAGCAACAGACCAGGTCTGTTTTTCTTTAGCCCAGGTAAGACGCTTCTGACGTTGTTTGTTGTTCAGGAGCGGCTTGACAAGAGGAATACGACATTTGAAGCCCATGTCCAGGATCCGTCTGCGTGTGGTGTCTCTTGATGCACTGACTCCAGCCTCAGTCCACTCCTTGTGAAAGTCCCCAACACTTTTGAATGGCCTTTTCCTGGCAATCCTCTATAGGCTGTTGTCATCCCTGCTCCTTGTGCACCTTTTTCTTCCACACATTTCCCTTCCACATAACTTTCTATTAATGTGCTTTGTTACAGCACTTTGGGAACATCCAACTTCTTTTGCAATTATCTTTTGAGGCTTTCCCTCCTTATGGAGGGTGTCAATGATGGTTTTCTGTAACAACTGTCAGGTCAGCAGTCTTTCCCATGATTATGATTCCTACTGAACCAGACTGAGAGACCATTTAAAAGCTCAGGAACCCTTTGCAGGTGTTATGGCTTAATTAGCTGATTAGAGTGGGACACTTTGAGCCTAGAATATTGCACCTTTTCACAATATTCTAATTTTCTGAGATTTGGGGTAAGCCATAATCATCACAATTATGACAAATCACGGCTTGAACTATCTTGCTTTGCATGTAATGAGTCTATCTCATATATTAGTTTCACCTTTTAAGTTGCATTACTGAAATAAATGAACTTTTGCACATTATTCTAATTTTTAGAGTTTCACCTGTAGCTAATAACTCTTCAGTTACTTATCGAATAAAATATCGCTGTTCTACTCCTCTTTACCTTTCCTACTAACAAATCTGTGGAAGAGTCTTATAGTCAGTAGTAACACTCCATTTGACTTTGCATACATTGATATTACTAGAGCAGTGAACAGTCCCGCTATGTCACAAGGCCACAGGACCTCTCTATCTTTCTCTCTTCAATCGTTTTACACATTCGTATTGTATTATGTTGCAGTGCAATAACAGTTCATATTCAATTTCCTCTTGTGTTGCTGTTCCTCCGAATATTCCAATTGAGCTCTGCAACTTTTATCTTCAGGTTCTGTGTCCTCCTTTAATCTCTCTATCCCTGGGCAGTCTTAAATGCTGTTCATTGGGGCTCCTTTTATTTGATTTACTGGCACTGGGGTGAAGGTATTGGAGCTCACTGGGGTTTTTAACGGCGTTTCTTTTCGTTTTTACACTCCGTAGCCCCTCATGTTTCCCTTTCTGTTTTCCATCTCCTAAGCTTCTGCTGGGAACCGAGAGACATGCATCTACTTTTGTGTCAGGCAGTCCACGGGCACCTGTGGGTCTTTCAGTGTCTCTAAGGTCCTCATCTCTCTCCTTTCCTCCGCCCAGCAACACCTCCGGTCACAGACCTGCTCCTATCGTCCAGCTCCACAGGGAGGGGTGAGTTCACTCATCAGGATTCATCAGACTGACAGGTTTGCAGGCTGGCGTCCCAAGCTCTCGGCCACGCTGCTATGGCGCCATGCTACAGCTCCTCCCCCCATCACAAGACACAGATGTCTAAGCAAGTCGCACCTAAAGTAGTGCATGCACAACTTTAGAAATCGGTGCGGCTCCGACCAAGTCAGAATCGCACTGATACGACCGCTGTAATTGCGGACAATAGGGTGTGACTTGCAATGCAATTTGCAAGTTGCATGGCAAGTCACACCCGGTGTTAGCGGGGTCTTATATGCGTTCATTCACATCAATGTTTTCGCTGTTCATTATTTTCATTGGCCAGAATACTGGTTTATTCTGGCTATTGAAATGAATACTCAAGCACCTATGCACCTAGCATTTAGGCGCATTGGGCGTTTTTTCTGCCCAAACGCTCCTCTCCTGAATGCGATTTTGGTGAATTTTCACCCATCCATCCATGTCTCCATGCTTTTTGTTGAGGAAACACTGGAATCCCCCCCCCCCCCCCCCCTAGCATTTCTGGCCACAGCCATCCTGAGCAAGGGCAGATGATTCATGTAGCATTTACTTTCTAGGATCCATCTGCCCTTAGCACAGGCATGCAAGCAGGGGGGTGTGCTTAGCTGAGAACCCCTTCTCCTCTCCCCCAGTTGAAAGAAGAAAAAATGCCCATGTAAACTCCTGGGATGTATGACCTCTTTTTTCGCCCAGAACAGAAACCAGGAAGAACTGAAGAAATGTTCCAAAAAAACATTTTAAAAACAAGTACATATAATATACCTCCCTATCTATTTACTAATGCTAGCAGTATAAGCAGAATTAAAAATAATGTTGATTGAGAGAGTTTAGTTATACTTTAAGTGATAAAATAAATCAAAAAAAATGATACATACAGTATGTTTTGTATGCAGTTCTCTTTTTTTATTCCTTCTGCAGGCCCCAACGTGGACATACATATCTTGTGCTGTTGGTTTATTTATTTACCAGTCCTTGGATGCCATTGATGGGAAGCAAGCAAGGAGAACAAACAGCAGTACTCCGCTGGGAGAGCTTTTTGACCATGGATGTGACTCCCTCTCTACAGGTGGATTTTAGGTTCTATTGTACCAAACAATTATTGTTTTATTGCTCTTTATTTCTTACCTGTCCTCAGCTTCAGGATTTGGTCAAGCAGCAAGAAATGTCAGTAACATCAGAAGTTTCAGAATAGTACAAATTTAAGCTGATCAAGTAAAGCCTAGTACACATGGGCCGAATGTTGAGCGGCATAGGCTGGTTCAATAGAAGCCATCCGACATTCGGCCCGTGTGTACGGCAGCCAGTCTGACAGAATCCGACCGTTTGGCTGGCTTCTATCACAGGGGCATGACTGAAAAAGGTCTACCAATGGCTGAGAGTGCTGACCGGAGTGTTCGGGGGGGGGGGGGGCTGCTCCCCATTTTCAGAGCACAATAGCACAGCAGGGGAGATCGCTGTGCTAACATCTTATAGTTGGTACAGCGGCTCCTCCTGAGCTGTCAGTTTTTTTTTCTGTTCAGCCCGCTGGATAAAATGAAAAAAAAAAAAGTAGTAGTGTGTACCAGGCTTAACTTCTGTAAATGCTTATAGCTGGACTCCAGGCATAGAGCAAGCAGTCACAACTCTTTCATTTGTTCATAGAATGTCCAAAAAGATAAAATAAATCTCTTTGAATTTTAACTTGGGAAGCACAGTGTCTAAGTGGTCAACACTTCTGCCTAGCAGCACTGGGGTCATGAGTTCGAATCCCAACCTTGGCACTACTTGAACAGTTTGCATGAGTTTCCTCCGGGTAAACCTGTTTCCTCCCAAACTCAAAACACATGCTGGTAAGTTAACTGGCTCCTGTTTAAATTGTTCCTAGTACAGTGGGTATAGAAAAGAATCACCCCCCTTTAAAATAATCACATTTTGTTGCTTTGAAGCCTGAAATGAAGACACGCAGTTTTTGTTTTTTTCCAGCTGTATTTACTCAATGCAACTTATAACATCCAAGTGAAAAATATATCACCAACATATCAGAAAAAAATAAGAAACAATCAAAAACAGAGTCACTATTTGGAAAAAGGATCACCCCCTCCTAAAAATTACTTGTAAACTCAATCAGGTATAGCTAATCACCTTCTCAATGGTAAACAGTCATTTGATTTTCATCTGTGATCAGCTGTGGTCATTTTGATTATCTCAGCCTGAAAAAGCGCTTTCCTGGAGCATTTTATTCTGTGGTAGTGCAACTGAAGCAAACAATCAACTATGGGTGGCAAGGCACTGTCAAAAGATCTTTCAAGAGTTGGATACAAACAAAATTCAAAGGCTGTATCAATGCCTATAAGCACAGTGAAGTCTATTATTAAGAAGTGGAAGGTATTTGATACAACACAAATCCTCCATGGATCATAATGTCGCTCCAAACTGGTTGAAAGAGCTAGGAGGAAACTGGTCAGAGAGGCTACCAAGAGGCCTACAGCAACTCTGAAGCAGTTGCAGGAATGTTTGACAGAGAGGTCAATGTGTGCATGTGACTACAATATCTCACATTCTCCACAAATGTAGCTTGTTTGGGAAGGTTGCAAGAAAAAAGCCACTCCTCAAGGAGGGCCACATGCAGTCATGACTGAGTTTTGCTAAAATACGCCTTGAGAATTCTGAGGCCACATGGAAAAATGTGATCTGATGAGACTAAAATTGAATTAATTGGCTTCAACACTAAACGATATGTCTGGTGGAAATCCAAATACATCTCACCATCCTAATAACACCATTCCTACAGTAAAGCATGGAGATGGTTATATCTTGTTATGGGGGTGTTTCTCTGCAGGAGGGACTGGAGCACTTGTCAAGATAGATGGAAAACTGGATGGGGTAAAATACCATCAAATTCCTGGGGAAAATCTTTTGTCAAAGGGAAGGTGGTTTATCTTCCAATATAACAATAACCCAAAGCACATAGCAAAAATTACCATACAGTGGGTGAAAGAAAAAAAGGTGAATGTCCTTGCATGGCCTCATCAGAGCCTGGACTTAAACCCCATTGAAAATCTGTGGAATGACATAAAGACTGCAGTCCGTAAACGCCCACCATCAAATATAACTGAATTTGAGCAGTGCTGCAAAGAAAAAGAGTGGGGAAATATTGCAGAGTCTAGATGTGCAAAGTCAGTAGCGACATATCCCAACAGACTAAAGGTTGTAATTAAAGCAAAAGATGGTTCAACAAAATACTGACCCAAGGGGGTGATCCTTTCTGACATGTTGGTGTCATATCTTTCACTTGGATGTTATAAGTTGCCCTGTAAATACAGCTGGATAAAACGAAAACTATGTCTGTCTTCATTTTAGGCTGCAAAGCAACAGAATTGTGACCATTTTAAAGGGGGGTGGGGGGGGAGTGATTCTTTTCTATACCCACTGTATGTGTATATATGAATGTGAGTTAGGGACCTTAGATTGTAAGCTCTTTGAGGACAGGGACTGATGTGAATGTATAATATTATATGTAAAGCGCTGATTAAATTGACAGCGCTATATAAGTACGCATAATACATTTTAATAATATGTGTATCCTCTTTGTTAATAAAAAAAACATAGTGTATAGTGTTTGTATACATCTAAAGGGATCTGTGGCTAGTTAGTTATTGTTTGGTATCCTCTGTGAGCATATTTTAGACAAATTATCGATGACACTGATAATCGAGAATACTATTTTCTCCATTGTACGAGTCTCTGTGGTGCTACTCGTTGTCATTGCAAATGTATGTAATCATGTCTTTCATATTCCCATCAAACAATACCTGTGAATAAAGGCTCCTTTTAAGCACTTTATTGCTCCCCCTTTCCTGTTACAGCCCTCCTTTAATCCCTGGAAAGCATCATGAAATCTCTGTCAAAGTCAAATTCACATTCTGAAGTGCAGCCATCCCTTCTTTTGTAGTTGGCTGCAATTATTTTTTTCTTCTATTGGTTGAGGTCAGCCCATGCACAGGTACTGGGACAAAAAATCATAATGGTATGTCATTTTTAAAAATCTGAAAAAGAGCATTTCTTTTGGTTAATATTTGTAATTGCTAGTACAATTTTCTAAAATGTTTTAACATGAGAGAACTTTTTTATTTATTTTTTTTTATTTTGGACGACTGGGTGTTTCTCAAGATATGCCAGTACTAGGAGATTCTTTTTTCAATATCCCTACTCAATAGCTGTAAATTTGTATACTCATTATGTGTCTGTGGCATGCTACTGCAATGTCATCATTATAGGTGCATATAGGTGTAAAATGTTGTTTTGGTTGATATCACAGTTGTTGGCTTAGACCTGATCATATCAGTATTTGTATCTTATTCAGGTAAAAGGCGAATTGTATCTGAAATATGCTTCTAAATTAAAAACCAATTTGTTAACATTCTGCCATTTTTCTTTACAGTGTTTGTGGTTTTGGGAACATGTATTGCTGTACAGCTTGGTACACACCCGGACTGGATGTTCTTCTGCTGCTTTGCAGGCATGTTCATGTTCTACTGTGCTCACTGGCAAACATATGTTTCTGGAATGCTGCGATTTGGAATGTAAGTAGCTGTAAGATTTATATTATGCTCTGATCAATGCAAAAATATATATATATTTTTTTTTTACATTGTTTGGTTTTTTTTGCCAAATCATTCAAACATTTACTGTTTAATATAACTGCTAAACTGCTGAAACTGTATAGTAAATAAAAGTTTTAAACGTAAATGTTTAATACCTGTAAAAACTTGATACTTTCTTGGTTTATTTATGGCTGTTATTCAGCTGAGTACAACATATTATGAGGCATAGTACCTGCAAAGTTAGCAGTAAGTGGATTTGTGGTCCAAAGGTCTGGCAGTTCAATAGTAATAAAATATCATGCTCCATAAACGCAAAAGCAATGTGTATTCTGAATGTGCATGTCCTCTTGACATGTTCAATTTATCTGGAATACTTCAGCTCATGACCTAGTCTTTACAGTGTATGGAGCAAGTCAATGCATTATCAGATGTTATGAGAGGAAATAGTAGTAAGCAGTGGCAAGAGCTTATCTGATAACCATCTAGTTGCAACCCAAGATCAACATGCTCTAAAGCTGGCCATAGACAAAGCAATTCTTCTTTCCTGCAACCTGTGGTTGCAATACAGTCGGGGTTGATGGGGTAATCCCTCCCATGGTGCCATTGCTTTCTCCCAGCAGGGGTGGGGGGGAGGGGTTGGGCAGGGGAGCCATACCCGCCAGGAGAACACAGTGATTACTTTAGCGGATATTATAGCTGCTAGCATTAATCGCATGCAAAATGCGACAAGCTCATTGCACCCAATTTGGGTACATTCAGCCTGGCCTTCGTGCTGAACCAGCCAAGATTCTAACCGTCTATGGGCAGCTTAAGAAAATCTGCTTTATTGGCTGAGATGTAACCAGAGCTGCTGTGTAGGGAACAAATAGCCCCTGGAGTTCTGTACACACAATTCCATCACATGGTCTTCGTTTTGTAAACCTTTTTCATTTTGGGTACTGCTTGGGTAGATATTATCATATAGCTTGCTGGCTAAAATGTCCTTAAATGTTACACAATGTATGAGTGTGCACTTCTAAACAAAAATATCCCACAGCATTATTAAAATATTATATATTTTAATGTCATAATCGACTAAAAGGTTATTACACATTTGTTCCAACAGTTCTGCATTGAAAATAACCTTCTGTACATCAAATGACCAAACCTCTCAGTCAATGTCATCACCATAACGGCATGAACCATGTCTAAATATTTGCAGTTGTGGCTAGTGTCACATTCCATATCCAGCTCAGAGGTTGTTTTTGATGATGTACATGATCCTCAATAAAATTGCAGCGGTTTGTAGCTACAATGAGGTGTATAGTAGCACTTTGAAGCATCCCAACCACAGCACCACCTGCCTGGAGCTTGCATGTTCTCCCTGTGCCTGTGTGGGCATCTTCCAGGTACTCCGGTTTCCTCCCACACTTCAAAGATGTGCTGGTAGGTGAATTGGCTCCTTTCTAATTTGGCCCTAGTATGTGTATGTACGAATGTAAGTTAGGGACCTTAGACTGCACACCCCTTGAGGGTTAGGGACTGATGTGAATGTACAATATAGATGTAAAGTGCTGCATAAATTGATGGCGCTATATAAGTACCTGTAATAAATAAAATAAATAATGTAGTACGTGAGTTCATGCCATGAAGCTTAGATCATGCTGGGAAGCATGCAGTGTGTGTAGCCTGTCGGTAAATCAACACATTTCCTTCACCAGGTGGTAATAACATAACACATCCTGAAATAGCATAACAATTTATAATGCGCTCAACAGTTAAAGTATATCTAAAGGCAAAATACTTTTTTCTTAATTTGGGATAGAGTAAGGAAGAGTTAGAACCTCTGTTTCTATTTTTAACTCCTCCTGATTCCCTTATAAAGAGTACCTTCTCAGCCCCCTTGTGATATCAAAGTTAAGTGAAAAAGTGTTTAAAAATGTATATTCACATATGAATGCATATGCTGTTGACAGAAAAATTATTCTTGCGCCATTATTTACAGTTAACTTTAAAGTAATGAACTGTAAAGCTTTTAAATTGACACATATGGAAAATTTAGGGTATCGCATTTTTGCGTTTCACAGGTTTTATAGTTTGGCATCTATTTACTTGAAACAATCTCATTCTTTAAAATGTTACATGTGAATTGTGTTGGTTTTGTGTGCCGTAAAAAGAAATTGAGTGTATTTTATATTTGATAAACTGTTGCGAAAATATTTGCAACTGCCATCCTTTTATTTTACAGGTTGCCTGCTTTCAGAAAATATTTTGGGGGATGAGGGAGTTTTCAGGCCACAAATACACATTTTAGTGTTTGTAAAAAAAAAAATGTATTTAGGCAGCGAAAGGGCTAAAGATCTCACGAGCATTCTACACTACTGTACTGCACTCAAAGTAGAAAAAAAATAGTTGGCTTATGGCTGTGTTTAGATATGGAGTCTAAACACAAATGATACTGTATAACTTATACTGGTAGTTATGTGAATTGAGTTGGCTTTTTTATAGAGACACTGGTCAGTTTCAGTTAACAAATTACATTGATTATGAAGCACTCAAATTATTCTCAGGCTTTGGCCCAGTGCTTTCTAACTTATACAAGTTGGAAAGGCATTACAGTACATTTTATTACTGATATTTCAATTCAGAAAGCATCTATAAATGCTTATAGACATTAACTAGTGTTAAAATAAATTTTTCAGGGGGGACTGTAACCACTGAAAATTTCACAAGTAATTAGCTTTGTGGTTTAAAATTCTTTGTGCTCATATGTGTTGTGATTAACAAGTGTATGTTGTATTTTTGCTGGTTGAGCCTGGAATAAAAAGACTGGAAACCAGCATTCCAAACTACTACAACTTGGAATGGCTACTACAACATAGGCTTTTAAAGGGCTACTTTTTCATTTAGAAAATGTTGTAAGTTGTTTTTCATGTTTTTTCATATACAGTTAATGGTCAGTATATTGGCTGCAATCACATCAAAATTGATATATTATGAGCCAGAGTATTGTGCCATAGTACTGAATAGAAGGACATTTATGATTGCTGGTACCAGCTGGCACCATGGGTCATCATGAACCTTCATTTTTCCTTCAAAGATTTAAAGAACTTCTTTCAATGAGTTTGTTGTGGATAAGGCAGCCCATTGAAATGAATGGGCTGTCCTACCAGTGATGTGCATGCGCAAACACGCTCACACGAGTCTGAATTGAACCCTACCAAATATACTAAAAACATGCACACCCAAGGTTAATGTATGTGTTTTGAAAGCAATTGTAGCTGTAAAGGCTGTACAATCAAGTTTATCAGTATTGCATCCAAACTTCCATAATCCTCTGGACCCTCCACATTGCACTGCAGATAAAGATCAGCAAAATATAACTCTTCCCTACTATAAAATCTTTCATGAGTGAAGTACTAGACCGCGCTCCCATAGAAATATCTCATCAGTAAATATAAAAGAACACTGTAGCAAACTTGCTCATCAGAGATGGACACGGAGTTCCACTTTTTTATTAGAAGTATTCCTCAATCCTTTATTCCCTACCCCCTCCCTTCCTGAGAGGCACAGGGACAGATGTGTAAGTGTTAAAAGTTGCTGGCAAGCTAGAGCAGCGGGTGGCCCAGCGCTACAAAGCCCCCCCCCCCCATAGAGACAGCAGACTCTCTGTCCCAAGGCCTGTGTAAACTTACACCTCCTAACCAAGATAAGGTAGTTTTTTTCCCAGGACTTGAAAGAAGTTGGAACCTCATAAACCCTACCAGCCAGGTGACAGAACTTAAATGAACATTCCTCAGGTCAGCTGTCACCTATGTTTCATATCATGGATTATGAAGCTGTCCGTTTTAATGCAGAGTCCATCCGACGATCCCGCCCAAAACAGGGTATTGGCCAGTACTCAGAGCCACCCCCCCTGCAGGGGGACTTTAAAAGACAGGCTGGCAAGCCTAAAAAGTAAGCTAAGCACATCTCCCAATTTTAACATCGTAACAGCAGGAGATCAAAGACCCTTCACTCTGCAACTTGGATCTGCTTACCTTAAGGCTGAACATGGAAAGTAACTTAACCTTTTAACTTCTCCCTGTTATGTCTTTGCTGTGCTGTTTTCTATGTGTGTATATGTGTGTATATATATATATATATATATATATATATATATCTTAGTTACATTTTCTTTGTAAATATTTTATTGCACCTGTTTGACTCTTTTAGTAATACATCTTTCTTTCTGAAAGTGTTAAACTGTTTCTAAGCGCTTACTTGCAAATCACGAATTTCTGCCTTTTGAAGAGACGCTACTGTGTTTGTTTAATCCTCTGCCCAATCGGCCTGCGGTGACCGTATTAGACAGGCGAATTTTTAACCATTACTGTGTATATTGGATAAAGAGAGTTTCCCCTTTCTCTGTACAAAAAGGGGTGGTGGCAGTGAAGGGTTGGTTGCGTAATTAACCTGACCCAGTAACAAGCGCATTCAGACTGCAGGCACCGATTGTAGTTCATTAGCTGGAAAATCGCTGTGTAGGGTGCAGCTGGGTGTGGCCTTGTTACGCACGTCACATCACAGTTTTAGATCGGCCGGTCTTTCGGTCACGAGTTTGGTGAGAAGGTCTGGGGTCTGACGCCGCAGGCAAGACGTATTGTTGGTCGCGGTCGTGCGATTGTCGTATGTTGAGGGTGGCGATCGTGCGTCCGTGACAAACACTAGATCTAAACATCAATGAGTGTAAGAAACATTAACTGTAAACATAACGTAAAACTCCATATGACATAAATTAACCAATTGCCATCCACCCTATAGCAGATTTACTGCTGCAGGGCGGACTCAGTGCAAAATCAAATATACAAACGAGATCTTCGCTTCCGATGTGTTCACAGCCCGCTGGCATGGCGATGCTGTGATTTGGTACAGCACGGATCACTCACCAGATCCATGTCAATGGTATTTGGCCTGGACCTGCTGATCAGTTGTACTGAATCAGAGATCATTATGTGCCT